CAGTGCTAGTCAAAAGTGCTGTGCTTTATGTAGCAAAACTATATTAGTTCTTTGTGCACTGGAGCAAGAGATTTAATTACCCTTAAATTTATGGAGTTACAAGTAGACCCCACATCAATTACCTTCCTTTTTGGAAAGAACAAATTACCTGCTTTTCAACAAGTGTTGCCACCACATTAGTACAAATGAACATTAGTATTTCAAGATTAAATGTATTTTTCAGACTGGAGTGGCAGTAGTATTTCTTTTTGGCTGGCACTTCCACCCTCTTCATCACCCCTAAGTGTTTTTTAACAGCTCTACAGCAAACTCTCTCCACTTTCTTTGAAAAATGGACAATGAATACACTTCAGAAAGCCCAACTACAATTCAGGTTTTGAAAAGTTATCTGAAAAGGCTGGTATAATTCTCACATACCATCAAGCACATCTGTATCACTGCTGTCCATCAACTCAATAGTTTTGAAAGTTGGTAAGGTCTTCAGTGGATGTTTGGATGTAGCTGAAAAGAAAGTTACAAGTTGCAAGAATACAAAAGGCATTCACCCAGCAAGATGGTTTGCTGTTAAACAGGGAGTCTCATGCATGCCCGAGGTTTTAGAGAGACATATTTTTAGAAAATGGCATGCCAAGCAAAGCCTGAGACTTACTGTAAGAGAAAAACTCTGTACCTTCTCCACTGACTGTCAAACTTGCAGTGTTTGTGTTTGTTTCCAAGACTGCATGGACAGAGGCTGCCAAAAAGAAATTAAAAAAAGAAATTCAATGACGTCTTTTAATTCCAGCTATGCTGTCATGCTCAATTTTTTTCAGGCAAGCAATCTAACCATAGGATGCTCTGTGCATCCTTCTGACTTGTGCCATCTGGCCTTTACCCCACCTGAGGGGGTTCAGAATGCCAATCATAAGCAAACCAACTTAGCAGAAGCAAAATGCAACTCGAGATTTAATCAACTGTCAGGCAAGAAACAACTTGCCTTTTTCCTTTTTTCCCCCATGAGCAATTTTAGTCATCTTTAAATATCCTTCAAAGGTATCTCATGGAGGAATCTATTTAGAACTGATACACAAAACCAAATGCTTTAAGGCTTCCTAACAAGACTCATCTCTTACTTCTCATTATGACACAACACACAAGGACACCACGTGCAGATGTGTAAGTTCCTCTTAATGAGTTCTCTCTCCCAGTAATTATTCCTCAGAAAGCTCAAGAAGTGTTTTCACTCTCTGATTTATCCATAACACTTACAGCTTTGTAACAAATCCTGTATACTCTCCAAGGTAGCAGCAGCTTTCATTTCCAGGCAGTTGGCAAAGGTGCTCAGAGCTTTGCTACGGACCACGGGGGCTTTGTCTGAACACCGACCAAACACCATCACCTGGACCAAAAACTTGTGCTTCAGAAACTTCTGATGATCCAGGGACAAGGAGCTGTCCAAGTTCCTCTCTGGCATGTCCAACAAAGCTAATGCTACATCAAGGGCAAACACTCTGTAGGCAGCCTGAAAGTAAAAGCACATGAGGTGCTGTGTTAGGGCAAGCAGAGACAGATGTTGCCCGCTTGGGTCACTGGCCTTTAGGTACCAGCAGGAACAAGAGTGTTGATCCTGAACCCTTCAGCTTCAAAACACTGCTGTATCATGGAATGGTTTGGGTTGGAAGGGACCTTCAAGACCTAGTTTCACCCCCCTGCATGGGCAGGGACACCTCCCACCAGTCCAGGTTGCTCCAAGCCCCATCCAACCTGCCCTTCAACACTGCCAGGGATGGGGCAGCCACAGCTTCCCTGGGCAACCTGGGCCAGGCTCTCACCACCCTCACACTCCACAATTCCCTCCTCATGTCTCACCTCAATCTCCCTCTGCCAGTTTTCTTCCCTTCCCCCTTGTCCTCTCTCTCCCTGCCCTTGTCCCAAGTCCCTCCCCAGCTTTCCTGGAGCCCCTTCAGGCACTGGAAGGTGCTCTAAGGTCTCCCTGGAGCCTTCTCTTCTCATCATGGTGAACAGGCTGACCAGGAGCCAACATTGTGCCCTCAGAGCCAAGAAGGCCAATGCCATCCTGGGGTGCATGAAGGTGAGTGTGTCCAGCAGGTCAGGGAGGTTCTCCTGCCCCTCTGCTCTGCCCTGCTGAGGCCCCACCTGGAGCTCTGTGAGCAGGTCTGGGCTGCCCAGTTCCAGAAGGACAAGGAGCTACTGGAGAGAGCCCAGCACAGGGCACTGAGATGCTGGAGGGGCTGGAGCATCTGCCTGTGAGGAAAGGCTGGGAGAGCTGGGGCTGCTCAGCTGGAGAGAAGGAGGCTGAGGGGGGATCTGATCAGAGCTGATCAATATCTACAGGGGGTGGCAGGAGGATGGGCCAGACTCTTCCCAGTGGTGCCCAGTGACAGGACAAGGGGCAATGGGCACAAACTGGAGCACAGGAGGTTTGACCTGAATAGGAGAAAATACTTCTGGACTCTGAGAGCACCAGAGCCCTGGGACAGGCTGCCCAGGGAGGGTGTGGAGTCTCCATCCCTGGAGACATTCAAACCTGGACGTGTTCCTGTGGGATCTGCTCTAGGGGATCCTGCTCTGGCAGGGGGTTGGACTGGATGATCTCCAGAGGTCCCTTCCAACCCCAACCATTCTTTGAAGCTGTGACCTGAACTCTGCAGATCCAGAAGCTGCACTTACCTTCGTGTTGTGTGAGTATTTGTAGAGCCAGGAGATGAACTCAGCAAACTCAGCCCCAGGCAGTTTGCTCAGCAGACTGACCAGGGCCTGCGCTGCGTACGTGCGATAATCCGCCTTGTCCGGGACCTGGAAAAGAAGGGCAGCCCCGTGCTGGGATTACTTCAACACCCTGCTCCAGAAGCCAGGATGGCATTTCAGGGCTTAAGATAACTAGTTTTTATTTAGTAAGGGGATACAGGCACATCCAGAGATGACTGGGGGAACAATCACAGCTCCCTTGGTCACTACTTCAGCACTCAGCAAATTCCCCAGGGCAAATCCAGAGGCAGGATTCCCAAAGGGCAGTCTTCAGAGAGCTAGCTAGGCAAAGAGCTCTCATTATCCCAATTTTCCTCGACCAAAACAGTTGTAAAAGCAACTGCAAGTTTTGGAAAGCTCAAAAGTAGGGTACAATCAATTAGGAATGAAGGGGAAGGTGTTCACCCTCCCTGTGGTGCTGGAGTGTGACTCTATTTTGAAGACATCTGAAAGCTGTGATTAAGATCAAACTCAACCAGGCTACCAAGTCATTTGTGAATGTTGAAAATCTTTTCATTCCTCACAAAAACTGGTGAAAATGGATTTCCAGACTGTCCCAGATCCTGCAAGGTATCCACTCTTCAGCTCACCTTGGTGCAGATGTGCTGCAGCAGTATTCGAAGAAGAGGAAAAGCAGCTTCTTTCAGCTCATCTACTACAGAACTGCACAGAAGAGACAGAAGCAGATTTTAATAAGGTCTGTTTTTATAACTGAGCAAAAATCAAGGACATTCCTCTTGGAAGGCATTTCAGGAGTCAGGGAAAGTGCACGTTCTAGAATCACAAGCACTAGTGCAACAGGATGGGGCCAGAGAGCAGAGCTACTGACTTTCTACACTAACCTGGCTTTGCAGGCAGCAAATATTTCCTCCAACACCTTCCTAGAGGTAGAAGGACAACATGAAAAGCTACTTTATTCTCAATCTATTTACTGTATGTTGTCTGGGTATCTCTGCACAAACTGCACTATCCAACAACACTGATCCCCACATGGGAAATAATAAACATAGGTAAAAGATATATTTAAGCAGGAAAACACAAAGAACTAAGAATAACTGAGCTCCATGTTAAGCTTTTAGTTTATTAATAATACTTTGTAGCAAACTACAAGACCTGAAAAAGTGACACAAAGCAAAATACAGAAGACAAGTCCCTTCCACTGACTTTTCTCTCCAACAGCACCTTCCATCTCTGCACCAGCAAGTTCAGTAAATTCCCATGACAGACATTTTAATTAAACCTCATTTGCACAAACACCTTCAAAGTCAGTGTCAGTTTGTCTCATCCCTTTATCAACTAAGCAACAAAGCAAAGGTGTGCCAGGAGAGAGAGCAGACATAGCCAGGAAGGGTAGTGCCAGAGCTCTGTACTTCACCTGATGAATTTTATAGCCTGATTCCTGGCACTGATCACAGCTGGGGAGATGGCAAGGACAGCATGTCTGGAACCCACCCCATTTTCCAGCATGAGGATGACATTGAGGATTCGCTGGAAGACACAACGAAGGATCTGGAAAGAAAAGGTGGTTTTGAGGTTGATTTCAGCAGCAACTGGAGCCCATGGGTATGCATTCTGAGCAGGCTTATGAAATAATTCTGTACCACACAAACTTAAATAATAGCACCTGTCAAAATACAGTTCCTGGTAGAATAATTCAGAGAGGACCCACTGATACACACAACATCTTTCCTGGCTGTGATGTTCTCCTACATGGCCAGCAAGGCCTGAGAAAGGCTTCCTGACAACACCAACAGAGCCTCTCCAAAGCAGTGGACTTCAATTCACTAGTCATTTGGAATTTCAGGAAGTCCATTTGGTTTTGCACAGAAGACACCTTAAACTAAATGCCTGTTTTTACTGCCACGTGCACCTGAACTTGTGGTGTTTCCTCCCTGCCACACTTCTGTGAGCACAGCCTGCACTGTGATCCTGACCTTCACTGAGCAGACAGGAGAGGCAGGGAAGATGAGACAGGTCTTGAGAAGGGGAGCTACTGCATCTTCTTGATACCACGAACATTAAGGGCTCTGAAAAGCCTGTACTGCCCTGAGAAACCATGAGGGCTGAAACCCACAGGTCAGAGGCTGAAACACACAGGTCAGAGGCTGCCAAGGCTGGGCAGACCCTCAGGTACATGTCAGGTTAGTGTGTCCTAAGCTCCAGGCTCTCCTGACTGCTCCTACCCTGGCTTGCTAGCCCAGAACTAGGCCAGAGGGGTTTACAGAGGCTGGCAAACCCAGCAGGAGGGTCACACCCCAAGCTGAAAAGCCCCATCCACAGAAGCAGCACATAGAGAAGTGGGAGATGACACAGCCTGCTCCACACTTTCACAAAATAATAAAATGCAAAGCTGCAGCCCCACTGCTGGTGGAACTGGATGCTCCACGATGACAGACTGTTCTCTGAATGAGAACCAGCCCTGCTCACCATCACCTGCACACAGCAGCTCCCCATCATGCTCCACTGCTGCACAACCCAGTGCCACAGCACACTGCCAAGCAGTGCTGGAGCTCCATCTAGCAGGAAAGAAGGAAATTCCAGGCAAAGGCAGTCACTTGAAATTCTAATTTTTAAGACAGGGAGATCTAATGTCACTGTAGTTATTCTGTATTGTCACTTAATTTGCCACAGGAGGCAAAGGAGAATTCAGTGCACATGAAAAGCATCATCCCACAAAGCAAAGGGAACAAGGACTGGGGTGGAAGAATCATCTCACCTCTGACCCAGCAAAAAAGTAAACCTGAGAGAAAAAAAGGTGCAAGCAAAAATGCTGTGCAGAGAAGGAAAAAAACCAACAACCTGTCCTTTTCAATACAGCATTGAGAATTTTAAAGATTTTACCTTATCTTCTGTGCCATGGAGAGGGGAGCACAGCAATCTCAGGCCACGGTAGGCAAGCTCAGGAAGGTACTTGGCTTCATTAACATTCCTGAGCAAAAGAAGGCAGAGATGTCTTCATCCCTCATCAGGGAAACATTTCCTACAACTTTTACAACTAAACATGCTCACTGACCGGAAAATATTCAATAATCACTAAATGTTGATTACTGTTAGCTAGGTGGAACACACTGTAATTATCTTTAGTGAAAGAAATCATTGCTTTCATTTCCACATGAACAGGATAATAACAACACAAGCACTGAGCACTTGACTCGCCCAAAGCACCAGATAAACATTAAGAATTGTTTGCTTACATTGCTGATGAAAACTCCAACTCTTGTCCCACTGGCTCAAAGTTCGTCATTTCAACCAAAACCTGCAAGGAAAAACAGCCAAGCTGAAGTGAACTCACACAAGGGGGATACCTGCAGGGCTGCTTGGATGCCTGGGGGTCAGATGATGGAGAAGCTGAAGCTCATTTTAAAACAAGTGGGTCCATGAAGTAGGACACAAGCAGACCCCAAAGCCCAGAGGATCAATACCATGTGCCCCCAGGTCCAGTGAGGGTGAATGATAGAATCATGGAATGGTTTGGAAGGGACATTAAGGTCATCTAGATCCAACCCCCTGCATGGGCAGGGACACCTCCCACCAGCCCAGGCTGCTCCAAGCCCCATCCAACCTGCCCTTCAACACTGCCAGGGATGGGGCAGCCACAGCTTCCCTGGCCAACCTGGGCCAGGCTCTCACCACCCTCACACTCCACAATTCCCTCCTCATGTCTCACCTCAATCTCCCTCTTCCAGTTTTCATCCCTTCCCCCTTGTCCTCTCCCTCCCTGCCCTTGTCCCAAGTCCCTCCCCAGCTTTCCTGGAGCCCCTTCAGGCACTGGAAGCTGCTCTAAGGTCTCCCTGGAGCCTTCTCTTCTCCAGGCTGAACACCCCAACTCTCCCAGCCTGGCTCCAGAGCAGAGTTGAAGCACCTCAAAACAAAGCACAAACTGCCCAGGTGGGCACTAACCAGCAAATATTGAGCATAAAAGACAGACAGGGGCAGGCACCACAGCTCACAGAGGACAGTCTAACCAGGGCCTGCCATTACCCCCTGGCTATGGAGTGCTCTGCATCCACCCGAACTCTGGGTTAGGGGACATAAGGTTCCCTGAGTTGCATCTTATTACCTGGAGGCAGTTCTGCAGACACTGAGGTTTTTCTTTTAGGGAGAACTTGGGTAGAAGTCTTAAGAAGTTTTGCAGAAGAAGGAAGATTGCGTTGCGAATCTGAAGAAGATCATCTGTGGAGAAGTACATATTTTCACAGTCCTCTTCCTCCTCCTCTTCCAATAGCTCTTCTGTCTATATTGGTAGAAAAGAGAAAGAGCACTGGGACTGATCCCTGTTGCATATTTTGGTGCTTCACTGTGTTCTCAGGCTCCACTCTGCCTGATTTCACATCCAAAATGCTAAATCTTTGCTTTCAGATTAGTTAACACACTAAAGAGTGGGGAGAAAAATCAAAACAGACAGGAAGAGGGGAAAAAAGAAAGCTCCAAACACAGTCTATTCTTGTTTTGAAGGAGAAAGTCCATCAGAACTTCTGACAATTATCTGAATTCTAATCTAACACTTGGGGATTCATCTCAAGTAATCCCCTTTGTGCCTGTGTCCCTTCTTCCCTTGCTTGCCAGCCTGATGTTCCCGGAGGATTTTTGAGATAAATCCCCAGTTCTGCTTAAAAAAATCATATACTGGTCACATACTAACTTGAAGGTCTCTTGGAGAAGCTGATATAAATTTCTTCATCCCCTGCTACTGAGCTCTCTCACAATATGCCACAAATAAGCTGTATTTCTTCTGTTAATCAGAAGCCAAAAAACTGCAGCTACTGTTGAATCATCAGGCCTCTGAAATTCCTAATAATAGGTAGAATGGATCTAGAGCCCAGCTGAACTGCTGAATAAAAGGTATCAAATTTTTAAAAGGGGTGAAAAAGAGGAAGAGCATCACATTGACCTAGAAGTGAAACAGCTTGCCAATGATTTCCTTATTAATAGAGATTTATACATGGAAAGATTACACAGACATTTTTCTTTTTCTTCCAGTTCTCATAACCCTTACGCTCATTTCTTGCACTGGTTTGAGAGCTTTGAGTCAGCATCTTCTTTCTTTTCCTCATCAGACCTTGTTCTTGGGGCCAACATTTTTTCAGGGTGTGAAGACATTTATCAAACATCACTTGATGGAACAGCTGGTTGGCTATGCTGCCTGCCCAGAAAAGGTAACATCAGCCAGACAAAACAGAGAGAGAGCAACAAATCACCTGGGCAGCTCTGCATTTGCTGTGACAGCCAAAGAGATGACCAGGACAGAGGCACTGTCATAGAATCACAGACTGGTTTGGGTTGGAAGGGAATTTAAGAGCATCAAGACCCACCCCCCTGCATGGGCAGGGACACCTCCCACCAGCCCAGGTTGCTCCAAGCCCCATCCAACCTGCCCTTCAACACTGCCAGGGATGGGGCAGCCACAGCTTCCCTGGGCAACCTATTCTAGTGTCTCATCACCCTGTCCTGGGAGCCTAAAAAAGTTCAGGAGAAGAGGAAAGAACTGCATCAGGATGACAGGTCATTAGTGATGAAATTCTCCAGTAGGGTCACCAGGTGACCATTTCTAACTGGTAACATGCAGCACAGCAAAGGTCAGCAAAGCTTTGGAGCACATATCAGCCTTGAATACTGAAGGACACTGCTGTGAAACAACCTCCTAGAGATCTGCAAATGCTCCTTAGTTTAAAAAACACTTTGGTTTTCAGAAATGAGCCTGTCCAAAAGCACAGTGAAATGCTCTCTGGTTCCAGAGCAGGAACAGGAAGAAGCTTCTGCCTTCTCTGCGTGTTACTGTCACACCAGAGGACTGTGGTCCCACCCTGCAGGCTGCTCTGCTGACCTTGTCACAGACCTGCTCAGGAGAGGCAGAGGAAGGCAGCCCGGGGCTGAGAGCATCAAGCCACCTTCTGACAGCATCAAACCACCTTCTGACAGCAGACCAAGCTGCCATCAGACCCTACCAGCTGCTCAGCACACAGCACCGTGGCTGAGTGTGATCCCTGGGGGACTTCAGGAGATCAAGCAAACTGTTCAAACCCATCACAGTTTCCACCTGGAATTCTGATAAACCAAGAGACACCTGATTTTTCCTGAGTGGTGTTTTATCCAGCAACAAAGAGACACATCCCTGGGCTCACCTGGGATTTCCAGCAGGAGGAAGTACAACCCAGCAGCATGAAGAGCATAAACCCTCTGCTCTGCATTAGCTCTCCTGTGCTGTCCTGCTTCCACAAAGTGGTGCAAGGCGGCCACCAGGGCGTTGGGAGAGAAGTTGTTTTCAGCAAACAAGGTCCAGATATTCTGAGGCAAAAAATGCAACCGTGGTAAATCCCATCACGACATCACAGTGTAATAGTACATTTTACAGCTTGTATTTTCCAACTTGGGAATAGCTTCCCTCTGAAGCACTCTAGCATATATGAAACACAGACTGGTTTGGGTTGGAAGGGACGTGAAAGATCATCCAGTCCCACCCCCTGCATGGGCAGGGACACCTCCCACCAGCCCAGGCTGCTCCAAGCCCCATCCAACCTGCCCTTCAACACTACATCCCCTGCCCCGGGACATCCCTTGTCCCAGTACATCCCTGCCCCGGGACATCCCTATCCTGGGACATCCCCTGCCCCGGGACATCCCTTGTCCCAGTACATCCCTGCCCCGGGACATCCCTATCCTGGGACATCCCCTGCCCCGGGACATCCCTTGTCCCAGTACATCCCTGCCCCGGGACATCCCTATCCTGGGACATCCCCTGCCCCGGGACATCCCTTGTCCCAGTACATCCCTGCCCCGGGACATCCCTATCCTGGGACATCCCCTGCCCCGGGACATCCCTTGTCCCAGTACATCCCTGCCCCGGGACATCCCTATCCTGGGACATCCCCTGCCCCGGGACATCCCTTGTCCCAGTACATCCCTGCCCCGGGACATCCCTATCCTGGGACATCCCCTGCCCCGGGACATCCCTTGTCCCAGTACATCCCTGCCCCGGGACATCCCTATCCTGGGACATCCCCTGCCCCGGGACATCCCTTGTCCCAGTACATCCCTGCCCCGGGACATCCCTATCCTGGGACATCCCCTGCCCCGGGACATCCCTTGTCCCAGTACATCCCTGCCCCGGGACATCCCTATCCTGGGACATCCCCTGCCCCGGGACATCCCTTGTCCCAGTACATCCCTGCCCCGGGACATCCCTATCCTGGGACATCCCCTGCCCCGGGACATCCCTTGTCCCAGTACATCCCTGCCCCGGGACATCCCTATCCTGGGACATCCCCTGCCCCGGGACATCCCTTGTCCCAGTACATCCCTGCCCCGGGACATCCCTATCCTGGGACATCCCCTGCCCCGGGACATCCCTTGTCCCAGTACATCCCTGCCCCGGGACATCCCTATCCTGGGACATCCCCTGCCCCGGGACATCCCTTGTCCCAGTACATCCCTGCCCCGGGACATCCCTATCCTGGGACATCCCCTGCCCCGGGACATCCCTTGTCCCAGTACATCCCTGCCCCGGGACATCCCTATCCTGGGACATCCCCTGCCCCGGGACATCCCTTGTCCCAGTACATCCCTGCCCCGGGACATCCCTATCCTGGGACATCCCCTGCCCCGGGACATCCCTTGTCCCAGTACATCCCTGCCCCGGGACATCCCTATCCTGGGACATCCCCTGCCCCGGGACATCCCTTGTCCCAGTACATCCCTGCCCCGGGACATCCCTATCCTGGGACATCCCCTGCCCCGGGACATCCCTTGTCCCAGTACATCCCTGCCCCGGGACATCCCTATCCTGGGACATCCCCTGCCCCGGGACATCCCTTGTCCCAGTACATCCCTGCCCCGGGACATCCCTATCCTGGGACATCCCCTGCCCCGGGACATCCCTTGTCCCAGTACATCCCTGCCCCGGGACATCCCTATCCTGGGACATCCCCTGCCCCGGGACATCCCTTGTCCCAGTACATCCCTGCCCCGGGACATCCCTATCCTGGGACATCCCCTGCCCCGGGACATCCCTTGTCCCAGTACATCCCTGCCCCGGGACATCCCTATCCTGGGACATCCCCTGCCCCGGGACATCCCTTGTCCCAGTACATCCCTGCCCCGGGACATCCCTATCCTGGGACATCCCCTGCCCCGGGACATCCCTTGTCCCAGTACATCCCTGCCCCGGGACATCCCTATCCTGGGACATCCCCTGCCCCGGGACATCCCTTGTCCCAGTACATCCCTGCCCCGGGACATCCCTATCCTGGGACATCCCCTGCCCCGGGACATCCCTTGTCCCAGTACATCCCTGCCCCGGGACATCCCTATCCTGGGACATCCCCTGCCCCGGGACATCCCTTGTCCCAGTACATCCCTGCCCCGGGACATCCCTATCCTGGGACATCCCCTGCCCCGGGACATCCCTTGTCCCAGTACATCCCTGCCCCGGGACATCCCTATCCTGGGACATCCCCTGCCCCGGGACATCCCTTGTCCCAGTACATCCCTGCCCCGGGACATCCCTATCCTGGGACATCCCCTGCCCCGGGACATCCCTTGTCCCAGTACATCCCTGCCCCGGGACATCCCTATCCTGGGACATCCCCTGCCCCGGGACATCCCTTGTCCCAGTACATCCCTGCCCCGGGACATCCCTATCCTGGGACATCCCCTGCCCCGGGACATCCCTTGTCCCAGTACATCCCTGCCCCGGGACATCCCTATCCTGGGACATCCCCTGCCCCGGGACATCCCTTGTCCCAGTACATCCCTGCCCCGGGACATCCCTATCCTGGGACATCCCCTGCCCCGGGACATCCCTTGTCCCAGTACATCCCTGCCCCGGGACATCCCTATCCTGGGACATCCCCTGCCCCGGGACATCCCTTGTCCCAGTACATCCCTGCCCCGGGACATCCCTATCCTGGGACATCCCCTGCCCCGGGACATCCCTTGTCCCAGTACATCCCTGCCCCGGGACATCCCTATCCTGGGACATCCCCTGCCCCGGGACATCCCTTGTCCCAGTACATCCCTGCCCCGGGACATCCCTATCCTGGGACATCCCCTGCCCCGGGACATCCCTTGTCCCAGTACATCCCTGCCCCGGGACATCCCTATCCTGGGACATCCCCTGCCCCGGGACATCCCTTGTCCCAGTACATCCCTGCCCCGGGACATCCCTATCCTGGGACATCCCCTGCCCCGGGACATCCCTTGTCCCAGTACATCCCTGCCCCGGGACATCCCTATCCTGGGACATCCCCTGCCCCGGGACATCCCTTGTCCCAGTACATCCCTGCCCCGGGACATCCCTATCCTGGGACATCCCCTGCCCCGGGACATCCCTTGTCCCAGTACATCCCTGCCCCGGGACATCCCTATCCTGGGACATCCCCTGCCCCGGGACATCCCTTGTCCCAGTACATCCCTGCCCCGGGACATCCCTATCCTGGGACATCCCCTGCCCCGGGACATCCCTTGTCCCAGTACATCCCTGCCCCGGGACATCCCTATCCTGGGACATCCCCTGCCCCGGGACATCCCTTGTCCCAGTACATCCCTGCCCCGGGACATCCCTATCCTGGGACATCCCCTGCCCCGGGACATCCCTTGTCCCAGTACATCCCTGCCCCGGGACATCCCTATCCTGGGACATCCCCTGCCCCGGGACATCCCTTGTCCCAGTACATCCCTGCCCCGGGACATCCCTATCCTGGGACATCCCCTGCCCCGGGACATCCCTTGTCCCAGTACATCCCTGCCCCGGGACATCCCTATCCTGGGACATCCCCTGCCCCGGGACATCCCTTGTCCCAGTACATCCCTGCCCCGGGACATCCCTATCCTGGGACATCCCCTGCCCCGGGACATCCCTTGTCCCAGTACATCCCTGCCCCGGGACATCCCTATCCTGGGACATCCCCTGCCCCGGGACATCCCTTGTCCCAGTACATCCCTGCCCCGGGACATCCCTATCCTGGGACATCCCCTGCCCCGGGACATCCCTTGTCCCAGTACATCCCTGCCCCGGGACATCCCTATCCTGGGACATCCCCTGCCCCGGGACATCCCTTGTCCCAGTACATCCCCTGCCCCGGGACATCCCTTGTCCCAGTACATCCCCTGCCCCGGGACATCCCTTGTCCCAGTACATCCCTGCCCCGGGACATCCCTATCCTGGGACATCCCCTGCCCCGGGACATCCCTTGTCCCAGTACATCCCTGCCCCGGGACATCCCTTGTCCCGGGGACATCCCCTGCCCGAGGACATCCCTTGTCCCAGTACATCCCCTATCCCGGCATATCCCCTATCCCGGGACATCCCCAATCCCGGGATATCCCTTGCCCCTGGGCATCCCTTGTCCCGGGGACATCCCTTGTCCCGGGACATCCCTTGTTTTGGGACATCCCTTGTTTCGGGACATCCCTTATCCCGGGACATCCCTTATCCTGGGACATCCCCTATCCCAGCACATCCCCTGCTGTGGGCTGGAGTCCCGGCAGAAGGCAGGAAGGGAGGCAGGGAGCTCCAGTCCTTTTCCAGGTCATTGTTCTGTCCTCTTTTCCCGCTGCTCGGTCGCGGGTCCCGCTGGCAGGAAGGGACAGTGACAGTGACTCGGTTCCCGTGCTGCAGCCCGCACACCCCGGCTCCAGGGCTGTTGTTCCCCATCCTGCCTTTATCCACAGCTCCCCGAGCTGTCTGCTCACGTTCTGATCCCGTGAGGGAAGCAGGGGCTCTGCCAAGGATGGGGGACTGGATCTGTTTTTCTTGTACATCTCAAGTCACCGGTGGCACCTTCCAAACCCGGACCTCACAGTCCCTTTCATCCAGGTAGATCAACTTCCTTGAGGTCTGTGGGCTCAGCTGGGCTGGTTCCAGTTTTATTCTCCTACTCTTTGACCAGGCCACCCTGCACAGCTGGTTGGGTGACTCCAGCTTGTTAAAAACTTGTGTTTATCTCTGTGTATAAACTAGGTCATATTTCATAGAATCATAGAATGGTTTGGGTTGGAAGGGACCTTCAAGATCATCCAGTCCCACCCCCCTGCATGGGCAGGGACACCTCCCACCAGCCCAGGTTGCTCCAAGCCCCATCCAACCTGCCCTTCAACACTGCCAGGGATGGGGCAGCCACAGCTTCCCTGGGCAGCCTGGGCCAGGCTCTCACCACCCTCACACTCCACAATTCCCTCCTCATGTCTCACCTCAATCTCCCCTCTTCCAGCTTAAAACCATTCCCTGTTGTCCCATCACCTCATCTCCCCAGTTCCCTCAGACAGAAGATGCCACACTCAGTCTTCCATCAGCATGGAGCTGTCTGTGCTTCATGGAGCTGCCCAAGTCCCACGGGCCAAAATAAGTTCAGGATGCTCCCAGTGATGGAACTGTGTGATGTCTGGTGGTCCTCTGGGCTTGGGGGCAGCCCTGGGCCTGCAGCCTTTGTCTTGCAAATCATGGGGTGGAAGAAAGTGAACGAGGTTTTCCCACCCAGCCCTGACTTGACTGCTGCTCCATATTTTTGCTGGGCTCTCTGTGCCTAGTGCTGTTGTTGGGCAGAAAGGGGGGAGGACAGGCAGAGAGGCTGGAAGGATGGGGTGTGAGTGAGGCTGTTTGTCAGGAGCTGGCTTATGACCTCCTCCTGCTCGACTGATTGCGATCATTCAGTGGAAATTAACCATGAACTTTGCTTCTGTCTCTCTCCTGCCTTGCCTGCTCCTGATTCCCCATTTTGGAAGACTTTTGAGCTGTACATATCTATAATAACTGCTTTCAATTCACACTGATTCCCAGGCAAAGTGTGTTAAGAGCTGCTGTGGCTCCACATTAGCTGTTTCTCCTTGCCCATCATGCCACTTTAACAAGCCCTGAAGCTTGTCCTGCTGGCACTTCCTCCATGCTTTCCATCTCCAAACAGCTTGCCTTACATTTCCAGCTTCCTGCTGCCATGAGGTCAGGACCTGTATGAGACAATTTAACAGGTAGGGAGACTGAGACATAAAGGAGGGATGTGTCACAGGGAAGGTGGCTGTTCCAGAGCAGATACCAGAGTCCAGACCATGTGCAGTGTTCTGGCATGGTCTCTGGTGAGCACAGAACCCATTTCAGATCTCATTTTGCCTTCAGTTTGCCTTCAGTCCTGAACGTGCTACTAAAATGCTGGCACGTTGCATTTTTTTCATCTGGAAACATTATAGCTCTGAAAAGCTGAAATTACAGCTTACATCTGTTTGACATGCTAATGTCTTCTCAAGTGAAGAAACATCAATCCTCCTTAAGGCTGCAAAATGCCAGTCTGTGCCCTTCCAAGGTAGCAGAGAATTTAGTACCCTGACATTTGCCTCCCTTTGCTTTAAATTCAGTCTTTGCCTTCAGCATCACGTGGGAAGATGATATATTCCCCTTTTTATGTGGCACGTGGCTTCTCCCCGTCACATCCACAAGCACTGGCCTCTCAATGGACGTGTATTCCGTGCAGAGAGAGCTGGTTATTTATGTCACCTGCCTGCCCAGCTCGAGGGCACTCACTGTTCTGTGTGAGGGGTGTTCTGGTGCCAGTATTTCCATTACAGAGATAAGGTGAGCAAAGGGATGCAAGACACAGACAGGACTTCAGAGCTGAAATCTCACCGTGCATCTCAGGGAGCAGGGAACTGAGTCTCACTGCAGTTCCTGAACAGCACTCATACCTCTCAGAAGCCTCCTGTGCACAACTTAGTGCTGACAGGGAACTTGTGTGTCTGTGGCTTTCTGATGACTTAGGTGTTTTGTTTCTTCATCCAAGTGTATCAGATTGGCTGAGGCTTTACCTTTCAGAAGGGCTGTGTGGGTGTCTTGGAGTCACACAGCTCACACACAGGGCTGGGAAGGGCAGGTTTTATTGATGGTTGTATGTAATGCAGAGCTCTTCATGCAAACTGCAGAGTTTGGAGTTTCTGTTGCTTTGTCTTAAGGGAGGAAACCTGATGGAAATGTAGAGAGAATTGTTCTCATGAAACCTGTAGTCTCAGTGCAAGGAGGTTGTGGGGAAAACTGAAGCAATGTGACTGTGTTGGTTGCTTGAGCTGCTGTGAACTGTGCTTCCAAAGGTGAATGCTCTTCCCTCGTGGGTGTTCAGGTGGCCATTAGTATGTTATCCAGGGGAAGAGTTGACTCCACTGCCTCCTATACACTTGCTAGTCATGCACTGAACACTGAATTTGTGCACAATCAGTGAGCATCTCCCCTGCTACTTCCTCCCTGGTGCAAATCAAGACCACTCAGACTCTTTGTTGTCGAAGGATAAGCAGGAACAGCCCTTCAGTTTTGCTCTGGCTCCTCAAACAGTCTGAACAGAATTAATATTTATAATAGGTGACCCTTGTCAGCTGAGTTCCTGATTTATTTATTTTTGTAGTAAGTAGGGCTGTGTGGACCTCTTCCTTTCTATCTCAAGAAGGAAAGTTCTGGCCTGCACCTGGCTCCAGTGGAGAGCAGTGACCAAGTGCAGTGCCCTGCAGCCACAGGCTGCCCTGGTAGCTCCTCTGAGCAGTGGTGGAGGAAGCAGTGATCCAGACAAGAGAGTTGCTTATAACTGTGAAATCTCCTGCCTTTCCTCTCTGTGTCATGTGGGATTAGGCATCACTGCTTAACCTGGATTTACATCTTCCTAGAACTCTACTATGACCGAGGAAACCACCATGAGTTTGTGTCTCTGGTGAAAGATCTGGCTCGTCCGGGGGAATTCACTCAACCACAGACATTTGACTTTGAGTTCACACATGTGGAGAAACCTTATGAGTCCTACACAGGGCAGAATGTGAAGTTAAGGTGAGTCTCCTCCCTTTGCTGTGTCCCCAGTCCTTGGTTCTGTGCAGTGTGCAAGTGCTGATATTTGCTGTGATGATACTGGAGTGCAGCATCCCTTTCCAGACATCCTTCCAAGCTTATAATGTAACTCCAAATGGAATTTGGTGGCCTGAGCTGTCAAAGGCTGTCTTGGAGGGCTCGACCTTTAGAAGCATGCATCAAGCTTTATGGAACTTGTTTTGCCCCACTTAGGTGACCAGAGGAATTGGCCCCCTTCTGAATCGACCAAATACTTTGTCATTTATTTGGTAATTCAAAATCCAAAATAAATTGTTTGGTTTAATGGGAACATTTGTGCTGTCTTGTAATCAATCTTGTCAACTTTAATAAGCTGAAACCCAAAATGGTGCTTAGGTAGCTCAGGCCTACATGTACATGAAAGCTGAGAGAAATCTTAGAAGCGAGTCTGCTTTTCATTGGGAAATTCCCTTCTGTCTTTTCCAACACGGGATATTGGCTGCTCCAGAAGCCAGGGTACCAGTAAGACTGCTTGGGTAGCCCAGTGCAATCCATCCAGCCCCCATGTGCCTCCCTACTTTGTCTCTGTTCCTACCTGTACCACCCTACTAGGAGGACTCTCCTTGCAGGTATTTCCTCCGAGCGACCGTGAGCCGGAGACTGAACGATGTGGTGAAGGAGATGGACATTGTTGTGCACACCCTGAGCACCTACCCAGAGCTCAACTCCTCCATTAAGATGGAGGTGGGCATTGAGGATTGCCTGCACATTGAGTTTGAGTATAACAAGTCCAAGTAAGTGTCTCAAGAGCAGCCAGTGGCTGTTGGGAACCATCTGCTGCAGGGGACAGCTTGGTTTGGAATCTCGAGGCACATCTTGCATGTGATCCTCAAAGGAATTCTTTGTTCATGTGCTCCACAAGGCTGATAGACAGTTGGGAATCTGGCTTGAGGATCCTCTTTGTCCATAGATGTTCTCTCTGGACTAAGGAGTGGGAAGCAATGGCTCTGCTTTAGAACTTAGAGCACAGCATGAGGCTGTTGCAGTAATTTCATGTTCCCTGTATCCCAGGCAAGATCCATGTTTCCAGGTGTCTTTAAAGTGTAACATCTGCTCTTTACTAGACAGTACAGCTGAAGTGAGACCTTAATTCAGGCACAGAAATTGGGAACAGCTCTTTTAAACTACTTTTAATACATCTTTCCCAGGTGCTGCTAGGAAATCCCCCTGCAGTGTCATGTTTGGGTTAATTTTCATTGACCTAAAAAAGCTGGGTTTAGAGGCTCTCCTGTTTCTTGCAGATATTCAGCTTGAAAAAATCTGTTTTGAATTTATCTGATCATATAAATGCTCTTGTCAATTTCCAAAAGACCTGAGGATGAAAGATGAAGTGCTGTTCATAGCAGCCTGGGGAGGGTGGCTGATGTGCCATCTGAAATGTACAACTGGGCATTAGAGCAAAGCGCCTGAGAAGCAAGTTCCTACCCCTCAGTCTCTGAGTCCTGGCCCTGTGTGACTGTGGTGCTTTCTTCCTTCCCATGCTAGGTATCATTTAAAAGATGTGATTGTGGGAAAGATCTATTTCCTGCTGGTGCGAATCAAGATCAAGCACATGGAGATAGACATCATCAAGAGAGAAACAACAGGGACTGGACCCAACGTCTATCATGAGAACGACACAATCGCGAAGTACGAGATCATGGACGGGGCACCTGTGAGAGGTGAGAAGGCAGATGAACCCTTCAGAATTCCTCTTCTGCACTCTTTTGGGGTGGGAATGTAAGGCCTGCAGCCTCTTCAGCTGAATGTGTGTCCTCAGAAGTAGCAAGTGCCCTGTTTCACCGGTGGGCTCCAGGCAGTGGGTTCCACATTGGTGATCCACACCTTCCTTCCCTGGTCTGGTGAGGGAGAACTGAGGCACAATGAGTTGAAATGATTTACTTCTTTTGATGAAGCAGTGGCAGAACCAGGGAATAGATGTAAATTCACTGTTGGCATGGGCCACCAGCTGGCACTGCTGCAATTTGGAGCAGAAAGATGGTGTTCTAGCTCTGTGCCAATCTCCTGTGCCACTTGTTTTCCAGTTCCATTGCCCAGCAGTCACCTGCCAGAGAAAATATCACCTTCCTCAATTTTTCCTGCAGTGCTGTCTTGATGCAGGTCACAAACAGGCCCTGTGCTGTTAAAAAGAAGATGGAATAGCTGTCTGCAAGGGCAGGATCTGGCTGTGGAACATGCATGCTGATTTTTGAAGGGACTTGAGGTCCTTCAGCTCATCTTGCTCCACTTGCAGAAATGGTCCCTGGATTGTGGCCTAGTGAGATTTTGTTTTGCTGCAGCTTTGCTAGTGCTGATGGTTCTGTGCACTTTGTAGGAGAGTCCATTCCCATCAGACTCTTTCTGGCTGGCTATGAGCTCACTCCAACAATGAGGGACATCAACAAGAAGTTCTCAGTGCGTTATTACCTCAACCTGGTGCTGATCGATGAGGAGGAGAGACGCTACTTCAAACAGCAGGTGAGAAACTCAGCTGGGAGTTCTTGGACCTGCAGGCTGTTGCTTGGGATGCTGTGTTACAAGGACCTTCTGGGAATTTGGGATTCCCATGGGGGAGCATCATATTCTTGACTGAATGGATATTCAGTAAAGACTAGAGTCTAGAGGGCCTAGAAGGAAAGGTCAGATACCTGGTGGTGGGGATGTGTGTAGAAGGTGCCCACCTGGGACTTCTTTTCCACTCTCTTGCCCTGTGGTGGAGCTTCTGTGCTTCACCTAAGGAATCCTAACGTGGCAGGCAACAGGACAGAGCTGCCCCAGGTGTCTAGTGGTTGCTGCTGTGTGCTCAGGTCCCGGGGAGGAGCACTCTACCCAGATTTTCAGGCAGGTTGCACTGCCAAGCCCCTACTTGCCACCACAAGCGGCCTCACCGGGTGCAGGTTGCTCACCTGGTTCAGCCTTGGGGTCTGGGTGGGGTCAGGAGAAGGTCTGACAAGCCCTGACAAGCCCTGCTGGCTGTGTTACTACAGGAGGTGGTGCTTTGGCGGAAAGGAGACATAGTGAGGAAGAGCATGTCCCACCAAGCAGCCATCGCCTCGCAGCGGTTTGAGGGGACATCCTCCCACACCGAGGCCAAGACCCCCAGCCAGCCCGCAGAGAACAACGGCCGGCAGTGAGAGAGAGGCCAAGCTGCTGTGGAGCCCCTGGGGACAGCAGCCAGGAGGAAGAGAAAACAAACAAACAAAAAAACACTTCAGAGACTTCAGGAAAATAAATAACCCGTTTTTTGACTTAATTCCTTTCTTCAAAGGACTCGCCAGGGTGGGAAGGGGATGGGAAGGCAAGGCAAGCTGGAGCTCCAGTGGTACCTCAGTGCTTCCCAACCAGCTGCATCCCTCTGGGTGGGCTGCCTGGGGGCATCTTCCTGTCCAGGGGCTGCGGAGCTGCCTGATCTCCTCTCTGCCCCGAGACCCCTCTGGGTGGCCGTGGGGAGGGAGAGAGCAAGTGAAGGCCAAATCCGCCGCTCCTTCCCACTGCTGGGGAGGTTGCTCTGGGGCCGTGTAGGGTGGATATTTTTCTTGCCTTTCTGAAATCTTCACCAGGGGAAGTGACACAGTGATCATCTGGAGGGAGTCAGACCGAGGTGCAGCCTGGAGAGTGGCTCGTGTTGTCCCCTCGCTGCCTCCTCGTCCTCTTTGTGCTGGTGCTGGGTTCTGTGGCGCACACGGTTCTGCAGTGGAGCTGTCTCAGCCCCCCAGGACTGCCACACAGCCCGTGGAGCTCCTCCAGAGCTGGGAGGAGGGAGTGAGGAATGCAGCAGGAGGTGGTGGCACAGGCTGGGCAGAGCAGTGAGGGTCCCAGTGCTGCTGGGTGGGCATGAAGTAAGGGTAGCAAGGCTCCTGGCCAGGGCAGTTCCTTCCTAGTCTTGCCCCAGCAGCTGCCTGAGTGCCCCTGAGATTCAGTCTCTCTGCTGCACTCATACAAGTCCCAGTTGCTGCTGCTGAGCAGGGGCAGACCAGCCTTGAGAGCTTTAGAGAATGGTTTTGGAATGTGAGAAAGAAGTGGCGGCTCTCTTGGGAGTGGGCTTAGGCTGCACACACTGCCCTGCTCCTGTCTGTGTCCCTGTGACAGGGCAGGCTTTGTAGCAAGGACAGACAGTAGAGAAAACACGTGTGTGTTGCTTGTTTGATCTCTTGTGCCTGCAGGATGAGGATTAGTAAGGAAAGAAAGTAAATGCACTTGTTTTAAGCAGCTCGTGGCCTGTGTGTGCTGCTAGATGAAGCCAAGCAGTAACTGGAAGGATAGTAGAGCTCTGATTCCAGAGACACATTCCTGAGGCCTGAGCTGAAGTCACCAGTGAGGTCAGAGGGTATTCCATGAACCGAGAACCTGAATGTGGGCTTTTTCTTTTCTAAAAGAAGCTTCTTTTATTCTTTAGCTAAGTAGAATCATGAAAACATTCCCTGAAGGGAGTCACTCCTCCATTAAGAGTTAGATGTGGTTTTTATAGACTTGATTGATTTGAGTCTGGAGAATATCCAGCCTGTTTAGATGCCCTTCAAGGAAGCAGGTGGTTAGATCTCCTACTAGAGAGACAAGCCTGAACTAAGTGCTGGGATGTGAGCTCTATCAAATGGGATTTGTCTGAATTTCCCTGTGAGTTTGTAGCTTGCTAGGGTTTTGTCCAGCTTCCTTTTGATGCTGGAATGAAAGTCCTCTGCCTCTGTCCTACAGCTGATTGTAGAACAGTTGTCTTGCAGCTGGGAAATGGAAGTATCTTCTGCTTTGTTTAGTGAAACAGTGCTGGTGGAGGGAGTGGGGCCTGGGTGGGAAGGGGAGCTTTTTATGTTGTAAGACAGCTACTGTATATCAGTGATAAATGTGTGTTTCTGCTTGCCAAAGTAAGTTATCTTTTTACTCACCACGTGTAAGGTTGTGGTTTTTTAGTAGAGCTGGACAGTCTCACTCTGTTGTAGAGGACACTAATGATCTCATCTGCTGAATGCTTGTGTCACACCATGTTTCTGCTCTGTACTAGTGAAGATGTGGCTTGCTTTCCTTTCCATGAGAAGTCTGTGCCATGGGCTGGAGCCATGTCTTCCTAAGACTGAAGCAAAAGCTGACTTTAGACAACTACCTTGTCACTCCTGGGCAAGGGGTGGTACCTGCTGCAGGTCACACATGGCAGAAGAACCTGGATGTTACTTTTGACACTCCCTCTAGTCCCCCCGAGGTGTGGGGGAACCACCTGTGCTGTGGCAATACACAGTCTTTTAGGGACAAGTGACCTCCCATCAGGAGCCCTGGGGATAGCAGACAATCTTTCCATGGCTAAGCTGAGCACAGCAGCACCCTGACCACCCTCCAGCTTTCCCTCAACTCCCATCCTGCCTACAATTTCTTTTTTCCTTGCCTGTTTCTCTTGAGTGTAGGCCATGTGGTATTAAACCCCATGGATGTCTCTGCATTCCAGGACTGGTTTACTGGCCAAACAGCATCAGTACTGGATCTAGGATAGTTGTCTGACATTGCATGGTCAGGAGAGTTCCATGAAACATCTGTTCATCACTTCTGGAGGGTTTACTTGGAAAAGGTGCATTAACCTCTATGCTGGGTTGGGTTGTGGTGGGGTTTTTTTCCCCCTACTTTGTGCCCCTCTCCCCCGTGTCCCCGTGGAATCAGAATTTAGAAATGATCCCCATTTTTACTTAAATGGACCATCCAACTTGTCCCCCAATTGGGCCCTCTGTTTGTCTGGGGTGGAGGAGATGTGCTGAGGATCTTTAGAGCAAAGCTGAAGCATAAGGTCACTCCAGGACAAGGTACTAAAGACAAGTGTTTCATGAGCATGATGAGGAGCAGACACTGCTGGAGCAGTTGTGTCCCCCTGAGCTGGGTGGTTCTGTTCAGTACTTGGCTCATTCCCTCTCCCCCAGGCAGGGGGGAAGTGTGCAAGTACTCACCCAATCAGTGCAACCTGTAATTAAGCCTCTGCTGTGTTTACATGTTTCTTAATTCGTCGTCTTTTCAATGGCTGTATTTTAAAACTTGGGTTTTTTGTCTCTCCAATTAAAAAGAGCCAGCCCTGGCTGTCAAATGCTGTGCATGAGTTTGTCTGCTATGGTTTATATTGCCTGGGTCTGGTTTTATTTTGTTTTGGTTTCACAGCATGAAGACATCTTTCTGTGGTGCCAGAGTGTGCAGCCCTCCAAACGTGCTCAAGGAGTTTGTTACCTTTATAAATTCTTGGTCTTCCTTTCATCTGTGTCAGTGCTTAGAAGCTGTGCTGGTGGAGGAGCCATGCAGCTGAAAAATCAGCCAGCTGGCTTCATCTCCTTCCATTTCCCTGATGTTAGGGCTGAAATCATCTGGGAAGTTTTCTACCTGAAGGAAGTGAACTGTGATCCAGCAGCCAGGCTGGATGTGTATACACATCAAAAAATTCTTGTTCTAGGCAGAAGCTTTGTGATACCTTTCTGCAGAAAAGAGTTCCTCTGTAGTGCCTGGAACTGCACTGGATCCTGCAGTAAACATCCCCAGGGAGGATGTACCTGTTTTGTCCCTCCAGGGGTAAACTGCACTATTTTTTCCACTATTAAAAATCCAGCAGCTGCAGTTGATTCTAAACAGCTTTATTGAAAAATAAGCAAAAATAACTGTGTGTCAGGATAAGGGACATGTAGCTGCAGGTCATGGCATGGTCTTGCTGCTGCCACTGAGCAAGTCAACTTGAGAGTTAAGCTGATTTAGGAGGAGGCATCAGCAGGCTGGGTAGAAGCTGTGCTGGTTGGTTTCTTAGTGTGGCTTTTCCTCTTCCAGGCTCAAGACAAAATCAAATTCCTCTGTGTTGAAAAGGTAAGGAAGAAAAAGCTGTAAGTGGAACTTCCATGTTCTCTGAGTGAGGGCTGCCTCTCAGGGGGAATGGCACCAGGAGTCCAGAGAAGAAGGTTCTTACCTTGTGTCAGTGGTTGGATGGAAAGACGTTGCCTTGTGAAGAGCATCATGTTCTTGAGGGGCCCTCCATCTGCTTTATGAGCCAGGTGGTGAGTCTTGATTTCAGAAAGGGGGATGAAACGTTTTGTCATCCGCACAAACTGGACATCCACCTGGGAAGTGATGGGCAGCAAAGGAGCATGGTTGGAGCAGGATACAGTCACCAGGTGTCACATGGGCTCTTTGAGGGGGGATGAAGCTTTTAAGCTGAAGCAAATGATGGGCACTACCTTATAATGGTAGGAAAGCTTCTCCTTGCTCAAGGCTAGAACTTTCCAGTATTTCTGGCAGGTGATCTGTTTACATGAATCTTAGCACTGTGCACTAGCAACATGCACTCATGTTGTCACAGACAGCACACAATGAAGATGTGGGATGTAGCCACCCTGCCAACAGTGGCTTCCCTATCATTTAGCATGCCTCAAAACTACAGCTTTGTTTGCTGTAGACTGTCAGTGGCACTTAAAAGATGTTTGTTCTCTTTCCTAACCCAGAATTCTGCATGCACCGAGGTCAGCTCTGCATCCAAGTAAGATTTGAAAATGCAGGGAGATAAATGTTGGCAGCCTTCTGGAAGAGACAGGGGAAAAGGGAGAGGAAACCTCTCTCTTGAGAGAGAAAGCCAGGCCAGGCCAGAAGCTTAAGATGATAAGCAATACAATGCAAAGAGGCTTCTGCCTTCACTGGGCTTGCACACAAAGCTTGCAACAGCTGTCTTTAGTTTACTACATTACCATGGACCACTTGGGGTTCTCTTTTCTGCTGCTGGAATCATAATGAGGATCCTTCTGATCAAACTGTGTGTGATCAGGGTATGCCTCCTTTACGATCTGAAGCAGAAGGGGAGAAGAATGTGAGACAAGTTCCCATCAGTTAAAAACAACTGTTGGCAAAGGGTATGAAATGCCCTTGAGCAAGCTGTGCCAAGACACAAGAGAATCCTGGTGCAAAATTCAGCCTTGCTTTCCCTGAACTCCATTCCAATGGTGAGATGTGTTTCCTTTCTTGTCATGCCTTGGGTTGATGCACTGAAGAGCAAGTGTGGCTGTCAAAGAAGCACCATCACCTCTTTGGAGAGCATTGTGGAAGGAGGACACACAGCAGAGGAAAACAGGGGAGATGATGAGGGTCTTTGTGAGGAGTTCTCTTAAAGGAAAAGTTTCCCTGTGCTCTAGGTTTTACACTGCTGCCCTGCAGGCTCAGCTGACTAGAATGTAGTGATTCATATTTTAATCAGAGTGTGGATCAACACTA